GATGACACCAGGTGTTCGCGAAAAGGGTAATAAGCATGTCCTGCCCTACCGGTAACACCCACCACTTACACAGTTAGCACAATTTGTAAGTGTTTGTTTTTGCCTGCCATGCGGCGGCGACCAGTAAATGCACCAGACAATCAAGTGATGGACCAGACAATCAAGTGATGGACCAGAAAATTCATAGACGCGTTTAGTTGTGTTTTTCATATTTCGAAACGGTCTTGTACTAACCAATGTTACTAACGAATTCGTTTTATGTATTGTGGCGTTGTTTCAGTATACTTTCGTATAAAACATAATGGCTTGGTATCTAAGCTCAACAGTCAACATTCAACAGCTCAACAGTCAACATTCAACAGCTCAACAGTCAACATTCAACAGCTCTACAGTCAACATTCAACAGCTCAACAGTCAACATTCAACAGCTCAACAGTCAACATTCATCAGCTCTACAGTCAACATTCAACAGCTCAACAGTCAACAGCTCAACGATCAACAGCTCAACAGTCAACAGCTCAACAGCTCAACAGTCAACATTCAACAGCTCTACAGTCAACATTCAACAGCTCAACAGTCAACAGCTCAACAGTCAACACTCAACAGCTCAACAGTTAACAGCTCAACATTCAACAGCTCTACAGTCAACATTCAACAGCTCAACAGTCAACAGCTCAACAGCTCAACAGTCAACAGCTCAACAGTCAACATTCAACAGCTCAACAGCTCAACAGTCAACAGCTCAACAGCCCAACATTCAACAGCTCTACAGTCAACATTCAACAGCTCAACAGTCAACATTCAACAGCTCAACAGATTCTATCTGCGCGCATGCACAATAGAAAAGATGGTCTCTTGGCCGAGTTCTCTGGCGACAGACTGTCTACAAGTCAAGTCAAGTAAAAAGTAAGTGCAAGGAGCTAGTAACCTTGCCTTAACCCGTGCGTAGAATAGTCTGTTCTTTGAGATCAGGGAAACAGACCAGAACGCATGGTTTCCATGTATTTCAATGGTCATCTATGATACATTCAGAAACCGCGTTTCAATTGATCAAACAACTTGTGACAATTCATTAAGGTCAAGTGATCGGTCATGGATTATTTAGCTCAATGCTTCGTTCTCCGTTCTTCGTTCTGCGTTAGCGCGTCCTTTGATAGATACCAGTTTGCTTTTAACTCCCACGCGAAACCTCTTACAGAAATTCGGCGGAGCGAAAGTGTTTACTGGGATCTTCATATTTTGACGGAGGTCTTTGTTTGGTTTTCGCGGTGAAAACAGTCGCAGATCTGCAGCTGATGTGTAAAACTGGGCCCAGTCGTACCGCTGACGTCTCAGGCTCATCAAAAGAAGATCATTTACCTCTTTGCGTCTCGTCACGTGATCTTTCGAATCAGCCAATCAGTCTTTGAACTTCTAAATTCTCGATACGAGTGAGCGAAGCATTCAGAACAGCATATCTGATTTAAGAATCTCGAATTAACGAATAAACGAATTAAAACAACTAGTTCCGAATGTAGATAAATAAGGCCGCACAATTATAGTGTCATTGATTTTGTATACACTCACCTCTAAGCACCATGCCATTTACACCCAAAAGGGGGTACAAACGAAGTAATATGTGTGTTCTGCGTGTGTTTTATTTTGTACTAATTGAGTTTCCCGAATTGAGGTGGTAATTTAAAGAATTGAAGCCGAATCGGAAGTAAGCTGACATGACATGTGACATTTAGAAAGGTGACATCTGATTGGCTCAGGGACCCTTGCAACCTTCATATACATGTACAATGGGCGGTCAAAGGTTCGCTCAGAGTTCAGCCAACACAACCACCTGTGGAAGCATCGTCAGAGAGGTATCGTATCGGAGAAGAAGATTTAATTTTAATGTGATTGGTTGACGTCTATGACCATTGTCAATGAGAACATTATCATCGGTACTATCAACTTTATTGTTATTATATATCACAACGGGTGACACAACGACTGTTATAACACTGCGGCATGGTATTTCAGTGGGTTAGCGCTATAAAACAATCATTAGCCTGGACTTGTACAAACAGCCACACACACACATATACACACTCGCGGGCGATGTTAAACACGTCACCTCATCGCACCATTTAACAGTGAATTGACAAAGCATAGTCATTATTGATATGTTCGTTATGCAACTTGTAGTTTAGACAATAGACTCGTAACAGCCGGTTTTAGGTGCAAATCACCAGCCATCCCAACATGCATTCCAGATTTCTGTAGAATCAGTGAGTGAGTGAGTATGGTTTTATGCCGCTTTTAGATATATTCCAGCAATATCACGGCGGGGGACACAAAAAATGGGCTTCACACATTGTACCCATGTCGGGAATCGAACCCGGGTCTTCGCCGTGACGAGCGAACGCTTTAACCACTAGGCGACCGCCCCTCTGAAGAATCAAAATTTATATAATTATGATATAGGTGCTTCACGATACATGCCATTGACGACCATCAGAATGAGAAGCAATTCTCAGAATGGGTGTAACCGGAGGCCCTATCCCTCACAGTACATTAACACCCATCAACAGCTGACTTCATAACGGAAGTGGCATTAGGACGTTTTCAGCCATCTCGAATCCAAACAGCTACGGTCACGCAATCGGTATTTCTCTGTTCAGGGTCCGGTTTTACGAAGCTAACTTAGCTGAAAGTCGACGTTATGTATTGGAGAATCAAAGTCGTGTTTCATCTTTGCTCCAGACATTGTTGCGACGTTCATAATGGCAGCGGGTGTACTGGTGACTGCCATGTTAGCTTTATTCCAGCAATATCACGGTGGGACACCAGGATTTGATTAATTTTAGAGATTCACTCAGGAGAGGAACTGAGCAGGTTTGGGGTTGCGAGGCGCCGTAAGTCGCCATGTAGCAAACCCAGATTTACCCTGATGGCCAGCATCATACCCGTACAGTCAAACACTGTTGTGTCGAATTTGGATGTGTCGAACTTAAGAGTTGTGTCGAAGTAACATCTTTAGACCCATCGGTAAATGTTTGCCGAATCCATTATTTGGCTGAGTCGAACCTCGGATAACTGGAAGTATTTACGTATGTTCCTTCAACTTTGACATAACGGTGTTTTGACGATCGACATCTCTTTCGGTCGACATGCCATGTCCGACGTTCAGCTGACACGCCTTGAGTTAGTGAGTGAATGAGTGTGGTTTAGCGGCGTTTTGAAATGAACAGTGTTTTCACGTTAGCTTTTCATGGGAGGAAACGTTAAATGATGCAGGTTAAAGTATATCTTTGCATCTACTGTCAGACTCGCTTAACCACTGTTACCAGCTATATCACGCATACAGACCTGACCAGGAATACCCCAAAAACCTTTACTTTAAATATCGCAGGTCTGTGTAAATACTATTTTGCCATTTTGCCATAGCCTGAAGTTGGACAGTTGGCTAGTTTCACTTCATCTACAACACAAGCCGACAGCATCTTCGTCCAACATTTTTTGACACTAAATGAGTAACGGTTCGAATCCAACTCACTCAACTAAGTCACGACTGTTGTTGAATGCGTTAGAGCGTTACGTTTTATGTGCGTTTGATTTCACTATAGCTAAAATAGGGTAACAACTTCTTGCTTGTCAAACATACCTTTCTTTTAAGAAAGGGTAATATTTCCTGGATTAGGCGAGATAGTGATTGGTTTTCACGTGGCTGATCATACCGATTAGCAGTGTGGGCAATGTCCTGCAGAGTCGCCCGCAGAGAGGAATAGATTAACAATCCTTCTGATGACAACGTGCGCTGGCTACGTTGATGTTAAATAGAATTCAAATAAGAGTCATCCGAGGCCCTGTCTGGTGCTATCTGATATGTACCGTCAAGTTGGGGAAGTAAATCGCCTTCAGGTGTAAACTAGTGGCAACCCGATCTGGTGATATTAACTGGCGTCATATCGCACATTCCGGCGATTTTATTAAATGATAGATGTGAGTTATCTCCCCGACAGAATGCCCCGAGAAATAGCATCATGCAGTTTGAATGTAATCTGAGCAAATACGTTGGTTGGAATCACACGGTGGGTACCTCGAGCTGATCCAGACATAGCCTGTTTCTTGCCGTTGACATTTAAATGATATAGCTGTGGTGTGTTTGAACCGATAACGTTCACAGAAGAGCGTTTATGACACCATACGGTTCCCAGGGAGCGGATAACATGCAACTCAGCTCGGAATTGTAGTGAGTGAGTAAGTGAGTGAGTTGGGTTTAACTCCGCTTTTAACATTATTCTAGTTATATCACGGCGTGTCAGCTTGATGTGGGAGGAAAGCCCGAAGAGATGCAGGTCTCAGACGTTTACCACTTCGGTGAAACCCACGAGCACGGGTATGGTGCTGACAAAACTAGAAACATAATCGGGGCGAACCGGGATTCGAACCCACAAACATAGGTTTCTGGCATGCCCAAGGGACTCAACTCTGCACAGCGAATCGCGGCGCCTTAGACGACTGGGCCACCCGTGGCCCCCGGAGTTGTAGATATAATAATGTATAATAATTATACTGTTAACTTCATATATTCTTGGGCTGAAACATCGCGTTTCAACTTGTCTGTGACTTGAATCAAATAGTGTGCAGTAACGCGGCTCCTGTCTGTAAAGGGGCGGCCGGGTAGCCTAGGGGACAAAGCTTTCGCTCGTTACGCCGAAGACCCGGGTTCGATTCCCGACATGGGTACAATGTGTGAAGCCCATTTCAGGTGTCCCCCGTCGTGATAATGCTGGAATATATCTAAAAGTGGCGTAAAACCATACTCACTCACCCAATCCTGTCTGTAAACAGTTTCAAAACGCATAGATATATGCGTCTCTGAATAGTTAAACCAGTTTTATGGTCAAACCGTCTGGCAGGTCACGCCTTTGCCTACGTCATGTTGGCCATAATTACAAAGAATTGGCACAAATAATTACTTTCCGTGTTCTTTTGAGAGAGAAACAAAATATAGGATCTCGACTTACCAAGATTGAGTTAGAATGCTTTCGCACGGGCTCAGCTCACAAAGGTTGTCGTGGTGGATTACAAGGCCTGAAACAAATGCAGACGGTATAGCTGTGAATCAAACAAGATAGGTGACAGATCCTTTAGCGGACTTGTCATACGTAGGTTTAGGAACCGACCATTTAATATTGTTTTTCGGACAGAATATATTTCAGCCAGCACATGAAAACATAGCAGCCATTATGCCCACAACACACTTCAGTTAACGATTTATTTCTTTGGGTAAAACGTGAGAATAAGTTGTCTTTTTCTGCCCTCTCGGGGCAAGTCACGTTTATCCGAGGCATGGGAGCACATACTCCCCGTTGGAAGTCAAGAGCATAGGTCGCATTCACTAAACAATCTGTACATCTTAGCACATACGTTGTAATTGCTTTTGTTTATTCCCCGATTATATACATTACTCGATTATACATATTCCCAGATTAAACATATTCCCGGATTATAAATATTCCCAGATTACATACATCCCTCGATTATACATATAACCACATTATATATATTTCTGGATGATACATATTCCCCGATTAAGTATATATTCCTGATTATACATAAATATTCCCCGATAATACATATTCCCCGATTAAACATATTCCCAGATTATAATTATCCTTCGATTATACGTATTACCACATTATACATATTCCCAAATTATACATATTCCCCGATTATACAATCTCATATTCCCCGATTTTATACATCCCCACATTATATATATTCCTCGTTGATACATATTCCCCGATTACACATATTTCCTGATTATACATAAATATTCCCCGATTATACATATTCCCCGATTGTACAGTTCCCCGATTGTACATATTTCCTCATATACACATTGCGTTAAAAAAATACATCATCAGCTCCATCATCGTCAGTTCATTGAATTCGATTCCCCATTAATTATTTTAGTGGTACAAACACTCTGGAAATGGCAAGCTCCATCTTGAAGCAAATGTGCCGTTATATTTGTAAGTCTTTATATGTTGTTCACAGTTTAAGCTTCGGCGACAATCACGTCATTACCCCTTCCAGTGCATCCTCACGGGCGCTGTAATGGTGCCAGCTACCGCTACAGGTCGCTAATGTCAAGGAAACGGCGCAGATCTAATGAAGCAACGCCACCATAATCGCTCACGGAAGATTGACATGAAATCAGGACGTTCCGGAGATGTGACAATCTTACCTTCCAATAACGGTCATCCCGCAGTTAAATAGTCTTTCTTAGTGACAGGCGGTATTGTATTTCACTTCGGTTGTCTCCCCTTTAATACGCAACTCTTAACTGGGTGATTTTAGAATCTTCTGGTTGCATTAAAGGTTTTCGTTGAATTATACACCAAAGTTCTAGACAGGCAAACCATCTGTCATAACTTATTTTGTTCCACTGTAAACACTGATTTGCCATAATGGTTGTGCACTACGGACTAAATATAACAACGCCTGTTTGCCAGATTATTATATCATTAGTTTAGCTTAGCTTCGCTTCGCTTCAATAAACATTCCAGCAAAATACAAGGAAGTAAACCATACTAAAACTGCCAGCGAGAAATCAGACTTTTAAAATCGTTTTAATATAATTGCCAGAACACACAGGTTGTAAATGTATGTTTACCCAATATCTTATCCTCCATCAAAAACCTCACTAAAAAAGCAGATATGAATATACCTCCGTTAAATAACATGCTTTTACAAACAAAAAACTATTTATTATCAGACCCTTTTCTAAAATATATTTCAATTTTTTTTTAGAAATAATCTTTCGGGTAAATATATACCGGCTATCGTGGTAGAATCACAAGCTTTTGGCGCCATAATAAATTGCCATGTAGCAACATACTGGTTTCCTGTGCACTACTTATACAGGCTGGAACCAACTGTTGAGAAAGAAGACGTCACCTGCTGCACTGTGTGAGCGGATACCAGCAGCAATTATCCGTCCCCTGCCCCCAGGTATCCTCTTTTCATATCTGTCATGATGGAATATGACATATTAGTAGTTGTTAGGATAACAGTTGTCGTGTCGGTAGGTTTTGCCTGTCGTCAACTTTAATGATGGAAAACCTTATACGACCTTGACCTATATTCCAGACAGTATAGGGTAGTGGATTTGTAGGACGTAAGTACTGAGATTCCACAGACATATTTAAGTAACTTTTGGGGGTACGAAGCAGTTGATAGGGAGGAAGAATACCGTTCATTTACGCGACTGTGCCCTAATTCACAATGCTGCTTATATGTACGTAAATATGACGTAAGTAGTTTCTCTATTTCGTTTCTAGGTTAATAGGGCGGTGTGGTAACCTAGTAGTTAATGCTTTCGCGCGTCACGCCCAAGGCCCGGGTTTGATTCCCCACATGGTACAATGTGTGAAGCCCATTTCTGGTGTCCCCCGCCGTGATTTTGCTGGAATATTGCAGTGGCGTGGCGTAAAAACATATTCACTCAAAAACTCACTCACTCTAGGTTAATAACTTATTATCAAGTAAGCTTAGACTAACACTACACCGAAGAACAGAATTAAGCCATGCAAAAACGTCAATTGGGATATTCTAAAAAGTAACTTTCTGCAACTGTGTGTCACATTCTGGAACTTCCGGTTACATTCTGGTACTTCCGGTCATCTTTTTGTTCGTCAGCTTACCTTCTGCTACTTCCGGTCACCCTCTGCTACATCCGGTCACTTAATGGTCTCCTACGGCTACTTCGGAAGCCCGTCCCGGCTGCCTTCTGGTATCTAATTTAAAAATTTACAATCCTTCCGTGATGTAAATAATCATCAGTTTGTAGAATGTGAAAACTGACAAGTTGCGTGAGGCTTAATGGATCGGGTGGCCAGACTCGATGACTTAGCTAATGTCGTGTCATCGTACCCCACGGAGTGTATCGTTGATCATAAGATCCATTACTGGTTTGTCTTGTCAAGATTTATTTACAGGCCGCTGTCATACAGCTGGAACAGTGTTGACCTTCACGTCTTGTCTAGTTCCTGAATGGTAATAAAGACCGCAGAAGGTTCGACCTGGATCCTGAGTTGGAATGAAAGGGACACTTCGTTCCTCGAATTTGAACAAAGGGCGGTGGCGTAGCCTAGTAGTTACAGCGTTCGCTCGTCATGCGAAGACCTGGGTTCGATTCCCCACATGGGTACAATGTGTGAAGCCCATGAAATTGTGATATTGCTGGAATATTGCTAAAAAATCGGCGAAAAACCATACTCACTCATATTTTAACAACCGCCGTAGATTTGAACGTTCATGATCATAATGCTTGCAGTATTCCAAGGATTATATCAGGAAATATGCACAGAAGAAACCTGTTATTTTAGACATCATATGACAGTGAACATCCGTCATACCCCTTTTGGTACCCGGGATTCAGGGTCTATTTAGAGGGTATTCGGTAGGTACGCGGGACGCAAATAAAATCGTATCAGATTAACTTCTTCTTTTTAAATAACGGCGTGAGAATGTTTATATATTTTATGTTTTCGATATTTTTTCAGTAATTGTACTTGTTCTTGAGATGTTTTTGAGATTTGTGTTACGTAGTTTTCGAGATTCAGAAGTAAGTAATAAGACTCAAAGTGAAAAATAAGATGGTATTCTGGATCCAGGGGATGCGAGTGTTGGCACCTCACTCATGCTACTAAAAATGCAGAGAATAATCAGTCTCGATTATCTGGCATTCGGCGTAAAAGGTATAATTTTTTATAAAAATTATGCAAATAGAATTAATGGATTCGATCCCTCAAAATCAGTGATGACACAGCACATATATGTGGTACCTGCCTCTTAATCTATAAATAGTCAATGCAGGCCAATTCATTTCACAATGCCGAGTGAACCATGCTTGACTGTACATGTTCCACACACGGCATGAAATGGTCGGACCATCCCTGCAAAAAAAATGAACCCTTCCATGCTAGGTATCAAACACGGACCACAACACAACAGTGTGTCACGCGATTCGGAACACAACGCCTGTTATCATAAATCATGCATTTATTAACCAACAATAATATTATTGTAAATTATCCGTCATATTTCCGCCCTCAGGATATATCCTGACCATGTCAGCGTATTGTGTATGTTTGTTATTTAAAGTCGCAATAGTTTAGCTATATAACGGCGGTCTGTAAATAATCGAGTCTGGATTCGACAATCCAGGGATTGAAATCATGGGCATCGTTTTTCGCAATTGGAATACGATGACAAGTCAACCAAGTCAGCGAGCCTGACCACCCGATCGTGTTAGTCGCCTCTTACGCCACGATCTAACCCGGATCTTCACGGGGGGTAATGTATGATTCTCCTTTAACGTCATCCGTCAGAATGTCTCGCCCATTACAACGTCCCGTTAATACCTGGTTCCACATTTGCCATTTACAGAAGGAAGGGAGTGTGCATTATCAGATTCCAGTAATGGTTATACTTATTTCGTTACAGGTAGTGGCCTTTCAGCAAAGAAGGAAGAAATTTAGGAGCGTTAGAAAACGAGATTCATCAGTACTGATTCTTTGTCATCAATGGCGAAATGGATTTAAATTTAACTTCCTGGTGTGTTGTTGTAAATGATTACAATCAAATGGAATTGGAGAAGATGTTGTGGTAGTCCCCCACCTCCACTGAATTCCCCCTTGTTTTACCTCGTTAACTTCGATATGTCAGACTGGATGATGGTTCAGTCTCAGCAACATCCTCATCAGCACAAGGGCATACTTTTAGTATCATATTTGTCTCGAACCAAGAATAACAGGACATAACGGATAGGATGTCGGATTAAAGAGGTTTTCTTCATATGAGCTGTAGGGTAGTCTAGTGGTTTAAGTGCTCGCTCGTCACGCTGAAGGCCCGGGTTCGATTCTCCACATGGGTACAATTCTGGTGTCCCCCGCCGTGATATTGCTGGAATATTGCTAAAAACGGTGTAAAGACTCACTCACTCATTTCAACTATCAGAACGATTTGAAACCAGACTGTATACTATTTGACTTATGTACAAAACTTATATATATAAACAAAAT